ACACCAATCTAGGCGGTGCCGTGAAAGTGGAAGATTATGATTGAGAGCCGTGATGAGTTGATTTGACGAAGGTCTGCCATCACAGAGGGAGCCCTGGTATTGTCGTGGTGTGTTGATAAACCACCAGCTGCTGGTGAACTGGTTATGTGTTTGAAAGCACCAGCTGCTCCTCAGGGTCAGGCGGGGCTTTCCCATTCCGTGAAGCGTTACAGCCTCGGAGTTTTACCCTGACCTATAGGATCGCTATGAGTAGGCACAGCTCGATGGCAGTGAGTGTTTGGCTTATCATCCTAGATAATTCTGGGTGGATCTTTTTCAATCATTTGAAAGCCCTTAAAAGTAATGGTGAGGCCTCCCTGAAGAGAAAAATGAAGGAAGGAATTCTACCCAGCTTCAGCCTATGTCCATGAATTCCAGCTTGCCTTAGGAATTTTGAACTTGCCTGTCCAGCCTCCACCATTGTGTAAGCCCATTCCTCGTGAGGTCCGCCTCTTAACTATACTCCTGCTGCTTCTGCTTCACTGACCAATGGTGACTAGTGTAAGGAGCACTCTGCTGCCTCTCCTGTGGTTTGCACACCGAAGGGGCTGGGGATGGTGGAGAGGGTCAGAGGTCCTCTTGAGGTGACCATTGGTTTGATGTGAACGGGGCTGCTGAGAATGAAAGAGGAAGCCGGCTGGGTGGCAAGCAGAGATATGGGCATACACTGGGACTGTCTTGAGCAGATGGGGAATATGATTATTCCTCTGGTGACCTAGTGCTAAAAGCGTTGGGCTGTTAACTGCAAGGCCAGCAGTTCTAAACCACCAGCTGCTCCTCAGGAGAGACTTTCTACTTCTGTCAGGAGTTATAGTCTTGGAAATCCACAGGGGCTGTGTCTTACGGGGTCGCTGTCGAGTCTGAGTGGACTTGATGGCCGTGAGAGCTGTGTTAGTCACTGGGGTTACAAACCCATGGGTCAGCCTTGTTGAGCAGAGGCCAAAAGGAAGACAAGTCAATACACAGACTTTGGAAGATCATGTTTTCAGTGACCCGACTAGCCTTTCTGAAGAGAGGCCTGATCCTAACTCCAGAAGACAAGAAAGGCCCGATGAAAGTAGAGTGGGAAGGACGTTTCTGGCGTAGAGAACCATGGGACATATTAGAAAAACAACCTCTAGATCACGTGGCTGCAGTTCATAGAATTGCAAGGAGGACATGGTGAAAGTTGGGCCTAGATAGGCCAGAAACCAGCACAGGCCATACAAGGAATTTGGAATATTTCCTCCCAAAGTGTTTGGGAACTCTTGGATGAATTTGAGCAGGGAACTGCCCTGACCAGATGATGTAGGGTCATCTTATTTTGTAGTACTCCCAGGTTAGTAAACCAGCTAGCTGCCCAGGGTCGGGGTGATTCATTCTCGCAGCAGCCCTCTGCGTGTCAGGAGAACGGAGCCGCACAGGGTTGTTTGGCTGGTTTTATGGAAGGAGATTGCCAGCCTTTTCTTCCAAGGTGCCTTCGGGTCAACTAGGCCTTTAAGCCTTTTGGTGAACAGCTGAGCTTGTTAACCATCGGCGCCACGGGGCAAAGTGAGACAAATTGGCCATGGGAAGACCACTCCCTGGCTGTTGAAATTGTTTATGCGGTGAGTGGCGGGAAGCTTGTGACGGCAGTGGGGGCAGGTGGCCTCTCGATGGGACTGATTGGCGTGAGAAAGGAGTCGGGGTGAGTCCCTGGTTGCTGGCTGCGGTAGAGAACTGAGGGAAGGAGTGTGCAGTGACGTCAGCTCTGGCCTGTGCCAAGCACTTTTCTCCCGTTGGCACTCCGGCCTTCGTGACCTGTGAGGGGTGGGGAGGATGGCCAGACGGCCCCTGCCCCATGGTCTTCCCAAGAGGAGACCTTCCTGAAGGATGAAGGGAAGCACATAGACGGAGTAGGGGGAGGAGCCGGGGTCCCTGGTGCTGCCACGGTTAAGCCCTTGGCTGCTGACTGAGAGCTTCGCAGGTCGAATCTACCTAGATACTCTATGAATAAAATAGATAGATTTTATAAAATATATAAAATACAATTTATAAAATTATCTATCTATCTGGTAAATGTTATTGTGGGCTGCAAGGTAGGGGGGAGGATGCAAGGAATGCCGGAAGGAGGGGCATGCAACTGTAAATCGACCACCTCATTGCCATCCAGTTAGTTCTGACTCAGGACGATCCTTTGGGGGAGAGGAGAACTGTCTTACAGGGTTTCTCAGCCTGTAACCTTTGTGGAGGCACCCAGCTGGACTTTCCTCCCCAGAGGAGATGGCAAGTTCTGACTGCCAAGGGTGTGGTTGAGGTTGTGTGTCAGCCTGGCTTGGCATGCATCTCTGTAGTTTGGCCAGCAGGTATGCCTTCACCATTCCCCAGGATGTGATTGGTATGATGAAATCTCTTGCATGATTAGATCAGTGAACATTGTGACTTTTTTTTTTACCATCACTGGATTCTGCATTCAGCTTGTCATCAACTGACCTGTAGTTCTCGAGACTTGAGCTGCCAGACTTGGGTTTTGTTAGCCCCTGCAGCCAAGTGAGTCAGGAGACATTTCCAACTTGACTTCTGACCCATGAGCTTGGATTTATGATCCCTAGTGGCTTATGTTGGGTTGCTGACTGCAAGGTCAGCAGTTCAAAGCCATCAGCCTCTCTGCTGGAGAAAGACAAGGCTTTCCACTCCTATAGAAAGGTACAGTCTCCAAAACCCACAAGGGTAGTTCTGCTCTGTCCTGTAGGGTCCAATAGGGTCACAGTGAGCCTGGATAGGTTAATGGAGTGAGTTTTTGAGTACAGCCACTTGAAGCGTTTCTTTGAGTGGAATCTGTACATACACCAGCTCCACGCTTCTCTAGAGAACCCAGTGTACGACTGAGTCATTGGTTTAATAGTGTGTTTTAAATCCCAGAGACTGTGGTCTGACCTCAGGAGTAAATCAGATAGATAACTAGAGGCAGCATTAAGATGTTGAAGACTTGGGATGGATCTGGCACCACACACAAAGACTTGGTGATCTACTTGCAAGAAATCGGCCATTGAAAACCCCTAGGAGCACAGTTCTGCTGTGACACGTGGACGCCAAGCATCAGAGTCAACTCCATGGCAACTGATTTGACTTTTGCGGGGTTTGAAAAACTTGCTGCCATCACTTCCATCCAGACTGACGGCGGCCCTATTGGACAGAGTAGCACTGCCCCTTTGGGTTTCAGAGACTATAACTAACTCTCTGTAGGAGTAGCAAGCAGGGGCTTTCTCACGTGGGACCGCTGGTGGTTTCAAACGGCTAACCTTGTTGGTGAGCGGCCCAATTCATCACCCAGAACTCCTGTTTGGGGGTTTAGTATAAGCAATTCTTTAACAGTTCTAAAATGTAGAGAGAAAATGGGGCTTCCACTAGGGGTGATATGGAGTCAAGGTGTTTTTTTAATTTTTAAAGTGTTGCTTCTTGTCTTAGATGGAGAAATAACATTGTTTCCAGCATATGAACAATGTTTTGTAGAGAGGGAAAAATTGATGCAAGAAGGAGATTCAGAGAAAAGTTTGAGGTGTCCATTTGAATCAATTTATGCCTCTATGCAGTTTTCTGCAGGCTAGATCCTTAAGGGGATTTCCTGAACCCAAGAGTACTTATGTGCACTTAAACAGTCTGTACTTGTTATATCCCACCCTAAATGTATGAGCTCGCTAACGTTGAACATTCCTCATCTTTAGAATGATTGCCCATCTGACATGATGCGATCGTCATTGTTGTAAGTTTCTTCATTGCTTGCTAAGAACTCTTTCTGTAATCTGTTTAATCCTTTGCTGTGTTTTGCCAGTTATTTTCTCTGAGGCTATCTCTTGCCTTTAAACTTTGTTTATGATATCCTTTAATTATGTAGAAGCCTTTTTTCACTTTTTACTGTGCTAAATCTGCCCTTTGATAGCATTTTGGCTTCGCTTGGGTTATGTAACTATTTTATGTAATTTTTGAGTGCATCTGTCGATACATGGAAATTCTTCATTCTCCTTGTACTTTGCGTGTGTAACAAGAAGAGTGCTGATAGTGCCCTCAGGGGAGCCTTGGACTGCTAATGGCAAGGCCAGTGGTTCAATCCCCCCAGCCACTCCGTGGGAGAAAGCTGTGGAGATGGACAAAGCGTCAGGAACCCTCCACGGGGTTGCTGTGGATCAGAAATGACTTGATGGAGGGCGGGTGGTTTGTTAAGTCTCCCGCCGTCTTTGGGCTAACATGGTTAGAGGCCGCAGGGATCATGTTGTCTTTAACGTTGGAAGAAATGACCTTTAAAATCTTTATCGTTACCTTTAGATTTCAAATAGGTCTGGTGTCTATTTGCAGGACAGATTTTTGAATGTTGACTACAAAAAACATACAACAAAACTACCCCCTGTGGTTGATGATCTAGTTGGTTTATCCTCATCTTTTTAGGTCACTGGTACTTTCCCATCTTATTCTTTTTTTCTTCCAAATTTCCAGATAAATTCTACACCCACAGAGAAGATAAAATTCCATTGCCTTCAAATTGATTCTGACTCATAGTGACCCCGGCGGACAGAACAGGATGGTCCCTGGGGGCTTCTGAGGCGGGAACTCCATGAGAGTAGACCTCACCTTTCTTCCACAGAGGTGCTTGTAACTTTGGACCACTGACCTTGCTGTTAGCAGCCCAACTCATATCCCACTAGCCCACCCGGGCTTCCGAGAGAAGACAGTCTGCTTTGTATTATCGACTGCCCCACCACCCTTCTCGTTCCTGGCTGTGCGTGCTGGCTTGCAGAGTGCTCCCAAACGGAGGGACACTGTAGTAGCTTCCGCCCTCGTAGCCCTGCTCTTACTGCCTGAGTTTGATGCTCTGCTGTCCTTCTCGAGGGATGTCAGAGCAACGTGAGGCCTTGCCTGTGTCTACTTAACCACTCAATAGACAGTCACCATTCTTTCCTCTGGTTTTCTCTTCTCAGCGCTCCCTGTCGCTCAGCGCTTCCTTGCTGGTTGCACAGCAGTGGGATGGTCATACTGGGATACTCCATCCAGTAGTGAGTGTCACATGGGCTTTGCTGCTTGTTTTTTTGGGGCGTGGGGGTGGTAGGGATGGGGGTCTTATGCAGAAGACCATGATATATTGTGACTAAATATTCAGATTAAAAAAACCCAAAACTTCACCGTTATCCGTTTGATCTGATTTCTGGACGACTCATTTCCACCCCGTTCCTAGGGTGGAACTGTCCCTGTGGGTTTCTGAGACAAACTTTATGGGAGTAGAAAGCCTGGCCTGTCATCCACTGAATGGCTGGTGGTTTTGAACTGGTTGGTGCCTTTTCAGATTACAGCCCAACTCGTAACCACCAGATACCCGGGCTCCTACCACGCCACCAGCATTCCCCACATACTCAGATGTTACTTTGTGAACTTCAGAGTTGTGCTTTCAACATTTAGATGCCAGGGACTGTACAGATCATTGAACCAACGGCCATGTTTTATGCATGCGGATGTTGAGGCGCGCAGACACACCCTGATTTATCTGAGGCACTTAAGCAAGGCAGGACTTCCTCGTGGCATTACGCTGTGCTTACAGGCTGCTGTTCACGTTCCCACCGAGCACTCTTAGGTGGACCCTTTGTGATTATTGTTTTTGATCTTTTCTGCCTCCCCTCCATCTCCCCTCCTCCTCCCCCCCAGCAACTGGAGGGGAAATTTCAGTGTAGTTGCTTGAGAATCATGTTCTAAGATTATCTGTAGGCTTTCCCTCATATGGCCTACTGCCTTTTTTTGTTTTTCCGGGAAACGAAGGAACAGTCTCTTTCAAATGAATTCTAACTCTTCATCCTCTCCCCCAGTTACTCATAATGGCGGCAAGTGCGGAAGAAGTCAACGAAGACTACCCGACTGAAATTCACGACTATTTGTCGGCCTTCGAGACTTCCATTGGTGCCGTGGAAGAGATGCTGAAGACCATGATGTCTGTTTCTAGAAATGAGTTGTTGCAGAAGGTATTTGAAACATGTAATTCCCAAACGTGTCCTGTAGGAGGCAGTGCTGGTTTCCTGTTAGCTGCCTCCTTTTACTTTAACTGCATGTATTTCCAGGGGAAACAAGCCTAAGCAGCCTTAGAAAATGCTTCCTAACGATTTTTCTTTTGACTCGTTTTTTTTGGGGGGTGGGGGTGGGATGGGGAGGAGTTCTCCCAGCCTTCTTTTGACAGACTCTATCTTTGACCTTTTAAGTATTACAATGATGTTATCAGGGTTTCTGGAAGCCCTATAGAACAAAAACAGTAAATTGACTTTGACAGTCTAAAACAAATCTCATTATGTTTCTTCTGTCTTTGGTATTGCCTAAGCATTTTAGCCTGCTGCTTATATGTGAATGCATCCTGTACAATGTTCGTATTGATAAATTACTTCTGACATACAAAGGCCAGATCCCAACTCCCCAAATTAAAATAATTCAAAAGAATTTTTCTTGGATTACACACATTTCTTTGTCTAACTCAGGATGGTCCTCTGCACTGCAAATCTGTGGACAGAAATCACTGGTTCACAAAACGTATTCTTTTTGCAAAGCGTTCCCAGACCATCTAGTTATTGGATTATGCAAAGTAGAAAAAATGTTTTCTTTGACACATTGAGCTTGATGAAAGCTTAAAATGTTACAGAGGGTCCTCAGACCCTGAGTGCTGGCTTATCTTTCCTTTCTCTCCTGTCTTTTAATAGCTGGACCCCCTCGAACAAGCAAAAGTGGATTTAGTTTCTGCTTACACATTAAACTCAATGTTTTGGGGTAAGTATGTTTTTTGGGAGTTACTTAGATAGCAAATTATTATTTATTGTGCCAACGAGATTTTTTTTTTTTTTTTTTTTTTAGGGCTAGCTATTTGTATATATTACACTTTATGGCACTTTTAGTAGTCATATTTATTTCTTTTAAATCAGAAGCCTGGATACTCATGCCCTGGTCATAGACTTCATGTTCCATGTGGATTGAATCATTTAAGGTTCACTTAGCCATCTGGGTGACTCTCCGGAGTCTTCTGAATTGCTAGAATTCCTTTGACTGCCATGCCTTTAATTTATACACACACCATTTTCTCTTGTAGTGTATTTGGCCACTCAGGGAGTTAACCCCAAAGAACATCCAGTAAAGCAGGAATTGGTAAGCTTTCAAGAAATTATCTTCTTTATAGTGTACCTGCCCAGCTGCTGTATGTGAGATGCTCTCTACAGGTGGACTTGTAGTCAAGGTTCTCGACGTAAGTCACAGGGCCTCGGGCACACTACCTGGAGACAAAAGTTTTTCAGCGCCGACATTTTGAAAGTGAGATGCGTCTCCTTGTATCCCTGGCTTTTCTTCCTTTTACTTGTCAGAGGCTAGGTGTTCTTTCTGTTGCATAAGTCTCTGGATGGGACCATGTTATGATTCTAGTGATTATTTATAACTTCCATATTATTTTCCCCCATAAATTCTTGAGATCCTGTTCATCTCCAGGACAGATTTTTTTTCCCCTTTTCTTTTTTTTTAACTCTTACACAATTCTTAAAAAGTATATGCTGGTTGATTTACTAGCAAAGACGGGAAAAGTTTCTCCCCCACCTTCTCAGTTCCTCCATTAATTCATTTTCTCAGCAGTAAAGCATCCAGTTCAGCAACAAAGCTAAAAGCTTTTTTGGCACCAGTTGTATGTGTACTGTCCAGCAATTCTGCATTAGTGACATATTTACAGCCTGTAATAAATCTTTTAGGTTTGTCTTTGTATTCCATTTAGATGTATAAGTACAGTATAGAAGGTCTGGGATCTTGGAGTTTCTGCTGACTTCAAGAATTAAATCAAATCATTCAATTTGAAGGGAAAAAATTAGAAATGAAACTTATGGTGACCTTCTAGACTCGGCTTTATGAATAAGAATATTATTAATAAATCCATCCTCTGTGTATAAAGTACAAGGTAAATACAGACGCGAAATACACTTGACATTTTGTTCTGTTCTTGCTCCCGAGGCTTTGGGAGTCGGTGTGTATATTATTTGTAAGTAAATTGGTCACTTATTTCAAAACTACACGTAAAGCTGATCTGTTGCCCGCGTGTTCAATTTGTGGACCAAGACTTTTCCTTAAACGTTCTTGGGAGGAAAATACAAAATATGGTGATTATGAAAAACATGCCAGACAAAAGTGTAAGGCAGTATTAAATGCAGCTCTTGTAGCGTGCAGCTTTCAGCTCTAAGACCTGTAGGCTGCATTGCCTGCTTTCGATGCTGTGGTATTGATGAGACGCCTCCTTTTCCTCGAACACAAACGTATTTGGAATGTTTCAATACTTGTCTTGTGAGTGGTAGTGGATCAGATCACCTGCCATCTTTCCCCTCAGAACCCACTCATTGGAGGACCATGTGTGTATTCTGAACCAGAGTGGGCAGAATAACAAGCAGTAGAAACCTGTTCTCCTGATCTGGCCTCGTTACAGACATTACTAGTTGATCACAGCTAAGGAGCCCTGGCGGTATAGTGGTGACTCTTGGGGCGGCACACCACAAGGTGGACTGTTCGAAATCACCGGCCGCTCTGAGGGAGAAAGATGAGGCTTTCTACTTCCATAAAGAGGCCCACAGGGGAATTACTACGTTGCCCTTATAGGGTTGCTATGATGGTGATGAATCTTTTTTGAGAGTTCAGGTGTGAGAGGATACCTATTCGATCTCTGTGTGTGTGTATAAAATAAGTAGGCACAGGCCCATTGAAATTTATTAATTTAGTCATCCAACAAGTATTTGAATGGTTATTGAGGGCCAGGCATGATTTCCAAGCCAGATAATTTCTCCATAAATAAAGCGGGCACCTGCCCCTGCCCCTGCCCCTGCCCCACTGGCAGTCACAGCAGATATCTCTAATGGAGGAGACAACAGTAAAAACCTAAAAATCAGACACACAAATTATCAATAAAGGATTATGGTGCTACATTAGAAAGCTGCCCGCGGAGGGCTTCAAATGTTTGTGGAAAAATGGAATGGAAAGTTAATGGACAAGTTCCATGAAGTCTTTAGAGTCCCCTCCTGTGTGCTGTGAGAAGAAAGGAACAAAATGGACGTGGCTGGGTGGACAGGGTGGTAAGGCTTGGGTGGATGGCAGTTCTCACCGGTAAAGGCAGAGCCTGGTGGAGCAGAGTGTCCCTTGAGCTTATTGGAAGGAAGACAAGAAGAGCCCAGGCTACATGTCGGCTGCAGTTGGAGACCACCTGCCGCTCCGTGGGAGAAAGATAGGGTGTTCTGCCCCTGCAAAGACTTACAGTCTCAGAAACCCACAGGGGCAGTTCTCCTCGGCCCTGATGGGGTTGCTGTGCGTCAGAATTGACTCAAGGCCTGTGGGTTTGGGCAGGAAGACAGGGAGTGGCTCTTTGGATGGCTGAAAACCAGCTGGGCAGAAGCCCAATGCAGGGCTGGGCTCGCTGTGGGCTGTGCTGCAGGGGGCTCTTTAGGGCAAAGGCTTTTTCTCTGGCCCTAATGGGTGTGGAGCAGAGTTGTCAGTCTTAACGGTTCCACATGTCTGTCTATGTTTGTATATAACTACTTTGATTATTGCAATGAAACTTGCTGGTAAACTGTGATCAATCATTTACTCTGCCATTTTACCGCTGTCATCAAGTTTATTTCCCCAATTGAAGTATAGGATAGCCCTTTATTCTGATTAATGGCCTCAGAAGATTCAAAGTGGTGTGGCAACATATTGCTTCTCACCTTGTAAAGTTTGATTAGAACTGTATATTTTATTAGGAAATTTCATGTGCTTATCAATCAAAACCATGGAATGGAATAAAAGACCCTGTGTTTTCCTGCTGCCCATTCTAGTTGGGAGCCGGAAAGTAGCTGCAGCAGGAAAGCAGCACTTCTCCGCGCATGCTCTGTTCAGGAAGCCCCGGGAGTTTAGCTTGCATGTTGCAAGTGCACAGATGTTAGGTGGCAAGCCTCAGACGTTAGCTGGTAGACCTCAGAGACTACAGTCGCGGTGTGGAATGAGGGTGCTGTTAGTATTATCAAGACTAATAAGGCAACAAGTAAACAGTCGAATGGTTATCTGAGTAGTTAGGCCTCTTCTGAAAACCCTTGGATCACTTCTGACCGGACTTCTTAATGCCCGTTTCTCTCGAGTCTCAGCTCCCCGGGGAGCCTGGAGCATATTTATCTACTCGCTCGCACGTACTAGGCAATACGTACTTGGATACAGCTGTGGAACTGGCAGGTGAAAGGATACTAAAGCTTAGTGGTGGCGGAGAGCTTCGTAAACCAATTTCGTTTTCGTTTTCCCGGTTCAGGAGCGAATCCGAGAACACATGAACAGGGTCAAGGAGATCACCGACAAGAAGAAGGCCAGCAAGCTGGACAAAGGCGCCGCCAGTAGATTCGTCAAGAACGCCCTCTGGGAACCCAAACCCAAAATTGCCTCAAAAGTTGCCAAAAAGGGACAAAAGTAAAACCTAACATTTTGGGTTTTGATGTATGCATATTCAAAAAGTACACAGTTTTTAAAAAATGTTCTCTGCAAAATGTATTCCCTGTTGAATTCGTCTTTGTGAAATTACACTTTGTGAAATACTTTCTGTTTGTTCCAGACAGATGAAGTTGTTTTTATTGCTTTTCCTCTGGGGAGAGAGCTGTGGCGTTTTGAACATTGTCTCTGTAGTGTTTTAGCCTCTCGACTAGACGCTGCCTTCCTTCTTGGGGGCTCGTCTTTCAAGTACCATTTTATAAACAACTCCGCAATTTCAGTGAAATGCTCTTGGTAAACATTTGGACTTGTTTCGGCGTGCCCCCCATGAAATATGGGGCCGAAGACTGAGTCTGTGACAGGCGTGAGTCCCTCCTCAGTCTGTCCTTACCGCCGCTGTGGACATCCGTCAGGCACAGTTTTGGATTTAGTGCACATTATTCTAATGTCGGTCTTGGTCTACAGCATACCTTATTATGAGTAAAAATCATTTGGGAAACACTTCTGGATCTAATACAGTATCTTTTTGAAGATAGCGCAGTAAGAATGATATTGACACATGTTGCAAACACATGTTGCATCTGTGCTTACGAACGAACCATTGTATCACGAACTTGTAATGAAATAGGCTGGGTGGGAGTTGGCTCCTAACCGGGTTGCGTACAAATGGTTGTAGTGCGGGATTGTGTACAGTTGATCTGTTTTTGCTATATTCTATTAAAATAAAATTATTGAAATGTCTGTGTTTTCTTAAGTAGGTACTTAATCATACTTTCCTGGTTTTAGGGATTACATACTCTGAAAAAATATTTGAGGTGTGAAATGAAAACTCTAAGGTGATACTCTAATGCTTGGCATTCTGCCTCTACAGCCCACGTAAAATGCATTTCCATTACCTTTCGAAGGAGAATCGGGTGGCATGTTGATGGCTGGATGTTGGCATAATGGTTTACATTATCAATAGAAGCCGTAAAAGTTACTCACTGATCCGTTTCTTTTGACTTTCAAATTAGGAAGATATGTTGTAGAAATATCACAGGTAGAGAAACTCACAGAATTTTGCTCTTGCTGTACAATACCTCAGATAACTGCCCAAACTTGGTTATATAATTTTTTTCCTTGTTGGGTTTTATTTATTTTTTATGACTGTATTTTAATGCACATGGCACATAATCTGCATTTTGGCAGCAGCTCTCTCCTGAGAGATTTTTGTAAGCCCTGTGCTGCCAATTAAAAAATATTTATATGTCTATGTGTATATGATGCTATGAAAAATTAGTGTGTGTACAAAACTGGAAAGGAGAGAGTGGTTGGGGAACATGGAGAAGATGAGTGTCGCTTGCTTTATGTGTACGATGTTTGGGGGCCGTTGTCGAGGACCTGCAAAGGTTCTAGGACACTTCTGTGCCACATAACACCATTCAAACAGAAGGCAGTATCTAATGAAGATTACATGGTGTTTATGTTCTGATTTATTTTTCTGGAATATTGGCTACAGTGGATTTTACATAGCAAATCTTTTCAATGCCTAAGCCCATGAATTTTAATGTTATGCCCTTAAAGCTTTCAGTCCTTGAATCCACATCATTAGGTGTGGGAACGCCGAGATAGGAAAGTACTTTAATTTTTGAAGAAGGAGTTGTTAAAATTTTCTATGTGATTAATCCTCCATAAGTAGCTTTGCATCAGTGGGCTTCTTGATTTATGGGAGCAGATACTGGAAATGTCCTCGAGTGTAATGGGCTTTGTAAAGCATGTTGGACTCTTTCTGTGGCACACGATGAAGTGGGAGGGAGGCAGGAAAAGCTCCCGGCTCGGGGGACAGACCCTGTGCCAGGGGAGGGACGCTTATGGCCAATTCACGCCTCTCCCAGGCCCATCCTTTTCCACTTCTGCCTGTTTCCCTCACCGTTGCCACTTCGTGTGAGAAAGCAGTGCTAAGATCTGCCTGTGCCTGTGTATGATTGATTTCAGGGAGGCCTACCATTGGCACCTCTGAAATGTTCTCATTTCCTAAAGAAAGGCAGGCTCAAGGGGAAAATGCCATCCAGGCGCAGAAAATCCTTCGCCAAATTATTGATTTGTAAAAGTCCAATTCTGTTATTTTGTCCAATTGTTCAATGAATAATTTTTCTCCCCTACCCATTTGGCTGGCATATAATTCACCTATCATGCAATTCAATAGTCCACTTACATCAAGAAGAGTTAAACAGTCATTGCCACAGGCCATTTTAGAACATTTTCTTCCTTCTTTTCCTCATGATTATTAGCTCCCCATTTCTCCCCAAGCTCCCTGCCACACCTCAAGCAACCATTAATCCAACTCCTGTCTGGATTTCATGTACAGAAAACCAGGAATAACAAAGCAGATTAAAAACATCAATTGAAAAGAAGCACAAAATATTAAAAACCAGAACAAATTTAAATGGATTATAAGAGAGATCAAATGATAGGGCACTGCATTTTAACCTAATTGCTTCTGCAACAGCCCACTTTCTAATGCATCCTGCATGACAGCCTGGTCCAGGGAATGATCCAGTGTTTTATCATTAGAAATGAAATATGGTGTTTGTGTATTCTGTTTTTTTAACGTATGGTTTTAAATGGCTATTGAAGTAGGGAGCCGAACGGGAGTGGAACATCGGTTTGTTATTTGCTTTTTTGATGATTAATTCCACAGATACTCAATGACATTTCCAGAGAGGTTCTAAGTAAGACAACTCAACCCTTAGCTGACTTTTACAAAACATACCAAAGAGAATCCTTTCTTTCAATGCACGTTTTTCAGACTGATTGTAAATGAATGACAAACTGCCCATGAACCTCCGCCAGCGACACAAAAGGTGAGGGTTGATGTTTTTGACCCAGTTAGGGTTAACAGTTTGTTCCAAATGGTAGTGTGCTTTGAATTTGGATGTGAATCACCACGTTTCGTAATCTCTTCAGGAATGAGCACGTGAGAGGGGTTGCAGCGGTAGATGCTTTTAAGATTAGACTTACGGACTCTTAGTCGAAAGCTAAATCATGAGCATTTGTCGTAACATCCTTGCAGATACCATTTCCTTCTCGTTCAGAGTTGCAGGGTGGGAATTCATCTTTGTGAAGTAGAACGATGTGATCCGAATGGACACTCCTACTACAAACACGCCTTCCCCCCCCTAGATCCTCGCCAACAATTCTTCCCTCTTGGAAATAAAATCCCCATGTGTATTGAGTGTGTTGGCAGTGGGTGCTTGTCACTCGCCATCCTGTGAGGGCAGAAGTCAGCAGGACTTTACAGCGGTTGCTGTGGATTGATTGGCGCGCCTCCATTCAGTTGTTCCTGCTGCCTAGCAGGATGTCGAGGCAATGCCGGGAAGCTTTCTGGTCTGCACAGCCGTTTCCCTTTTGGAGTGAGTGTCCCGTTTGCAGACCACTCTTGGGAGTGCCCACCCTTGACTGGAGGTGCCTTTTTAAAGGGCTTATTTTTTGACAGGCAGATTAGTCGATCTGTCCAGAGAAGAAAGAGTTCTGGTGGTATCTATTGGCAATTGTAGTTAATCTTACCCCTTTTCCTCCCCAGTGGCGCAAGGTAACAGCAAAACTAGCTCTGTATTAATCGTCTATTCATAAGAGGTTGAGAGAAGAGGCGAGGTTTTACCCCACACCCTCTTCTGTTATACCCGGAAGTTTAACAAATGTATCTTGGCAGGATTACTGAATGCAAGATATCAGTTTTGCAAAGTGATATATTTCAGACTATATACCATATTTGACGGTGGGTAAAAAATAAGCTTTATAAATGGAACATTTAGGAGTTTTTTTTCTTTCTTTACTATTTGCTTTCCCGTTTAGTGTTGCATGGTTTCAGGGTGGCAGTTACCATAAATGACAGGGGGAAATTGAAGAGGATAATTCAACCTTTCAAGATGCTTCTGCTGAAATGAATGCAGACCTACCGGGGCTTTGAATGTGAAGTTTATAGGAATACAGTATTAGAAAGCCAAGTATCCAGGGAATTCATGGTGATAGGCTTTGAATGAGATGCTTAGGACAAGCAGAACAGAATGCCTTCCTTTCCTTGTTACGAGGGTCTTGTCTATCGAGAGACGATGTTAAAACTGTGATCCTCAAAAGAATAGAGGCTTGTCAGACAAAATCTGCAGAGTGTACAATACCTCTTGGGCTTTGTGCCAAAACGGGTTCGTTATGAAAATAACAAAATTTTATCATAAGGAATCACTGAAGTAGTGATGTGGTCATGGACCGCATATTCACACTCTGCCCTTGAGTTGATCCAGATTCACCTTGACCTTCCATACAACCAGAAAAAAACCAAATTCAGTGCCATCGAGTCGATTCTGACTTAGGGTGGAGCCTATCGGACGGGGTAGAACCGCCCCTGTGGGTTTCCAGGACAGCACCTCTCTACAAGAGTAGAAAGCATCCTCCTGGTTCCTTGGAGCACCTGGTCATTTCGAACTGCCGACCTTGCGGATCTCAGCCCAATGCGTAACTACCGGGCCACCAAGGCTCCTTAGTGCCCTGTACAGTGACTACACATCTTCATGGGAGTAGATTGTCTCTGCTTCCCCAGAGTAGCTGGTAGGCTTGACTCGCTCACCTGGAGGTTAGCAGCCCAGACACCACAGCAGTGCTACGGCTCCTGATGGTGTTCTGTTAAAATGTAAATATTATTATCCAGTAGGCAATGTGGTTATGTATCTTGCTAGTATAATTTCATTTGGTGACTTTTGCTTTCTTTGATAACAAGACCCTCAACTTACATACACAGAAATCATTTGCTGTTCCCTCTCCCTGATAGGCTATTATTTTTCCCTTATGAGAGAAACGATCTTTTTACAGGTTGGGTAGTAGGTGCCAGGGGCCCTGGTGGCATAGTGGTGAAGGGTTGGACTGCTGGCCACCAAGTCAGCAGTTTGAAACCCCGAGCCGCACCCCGGGAGAAAGTAGACTTTCTACTCCCGTAAAAAGCTGGAGTCTTGGAAACTCACAGGGCAGTTCTGCCCTGTCCCATAGCGTCGCTCTGAGTCAGCACCGACTTGACAGCAGTGAATTTTTCTTTTCCCTTTTGGAGTTGTTGCTGACATTTGTGGGTTTTGACATTTATGGGTTTTACCATTTGTGAATTTTAACATTTGTGAATGGCTTTCGAGGCCCATGGGTATGTAATCTTGCTAAGGCACAACCTTAATTCCCGCTGAATTCCATGCAGCAAGGCATTATTTAGGTACTGATTCACAATCTAGCTAACTTTTCATTCTCGGCAGTCTAACACCCCCCCCCCCCCCCCACACACACAAAGTCGCATTCACTCATCTGAAAAATATTTATTGAATTCCTATCCCGTGCCAAATTCTCCTGAAGGCACAGGAGATTCAACAGTTACCCCAGCCGTAGGTAGTGATTTGTGAGATTCACAACTTGAAACATGAGAGAAATAGCTGTCAGAGGAAACGACTGAAGGGGAGTGGATTGGCTGTGAAAGCGTATGTAAGCCATTTGAAACGATGATTCTGAAGAAACAGGGAACCTGTGTGGACTTAGGAATCGTTTTGATGTGGGGCAAAGATCTTAAGAGTCAACCTGGAGCCATCAAGGGACTGTTGTCCTGTTTCTGAAGCCAAGGTGTGCAGACCCCTCGGGCAGGCATTGTCCCTTAGGATCGCATAGGCGATCCGTTTAAACTTGGTTTTCTTGCTTTGAAGATGCTCCCTCATTTCTCTGAAAGAAAGAAGAAG